AACCACCAGTTCATCTCCTGGCCCTTATTTCTAATTAATCTTGGAATCCTTTGTAGGCTAATACAATTAACAATAGGTCTAAGCCTCCTCTACTGTGCTGAATTGTTAAAGCAATTGGCTTTGTATCACTTGCCATTTTTCCTTTTACCAGCAGGGGTCTGAGAAAATCCAGCTGTCCTTTTAACACTGCTTAATCCTAATTTTAGTGCTTTATTAAATGGTATTCATACTCAAACGCTCTTCTGTTAACTGCACTCAAATTGGCAAGGCTGCAAACCACTTTAATTTAGTATTTATACAGGCCAATGAATATCATATCCTCTTGTCAGCAATAACGCAACATACTCCGACAGATGTGGTTGCAAACCTTTCTTCCGTATTAGCTTCCTATTACACTGTGGTATCCATTATTAACTGCCATCCATATGAAAGGGAGGAAGCACTCTTGTTCTGCTTAGCATTAGCTTTAGAACACAGATATTTTAAACATAGATAATATTTCCCCATAGGCAAATATAGATCAAAATGGGTCTCTGTAGTAACAAAAAATTCAACATAAGAATATTTTCTTTTCTTCTCCTCCCAAATTACTCTACTATCAGGCTAAGGAAGAGCTGGAGGGTCCCACTTCTCAGGATCTTTCCTGCTAGCTTCCTGGTATCTTTTAGCCTAGCTTTTATTCGTTAAATTACGGTCTCCTGGAACCCTCTCCCCCTTCTTCTTTTATAAGAGCATAGCTGCTCTTAAGGAGTTCCTATGCTTCTTCTGCCTTCATAGTCACTGGTAAATATGTATGTCAATCTTGGGTCCCTACTCACCTTTCTTTGTTCTACATCTCACAGGTTTTCTTATGTGTTTGCCATTTACAATGGTGGGTTTCCCAAGGCATGTAATATGTAGATCACAACACGATACGGAGCATCTACATGAGATGCTAACTGTGCAGTAGCTTAATAATATTGTGCAGTAGTGCATGACAGCACAAACAGTACTAATATGCTACTGTGCAATATTATTAGGCTACTGCACAGTAGTGTACTGTGTACCAGTGCTACTGTGCAGTAACACTGGTTACTGTGCATTAACGTAGTACTTGATTATACAAGTACTAAATGTAATGCACAGTAACTACAGCATATTACTGAACATGTAGACACACCTACTGTGACTAGCACTAACTCCCTAAATTTCTGTGGTTCTACCTAACACTCCATCACCACTGTGGATCTATATTGACTTTATTTAATCTTTGATTCTGTGGTGCTCAAATCTGTGGATCACTGCCTTTATCTGCATGCTAAATGGCAGTTTAACTTGCAGGTGAGAATTTTCTTTATATGTAAATACCTCAATGACTGACTTTTCTACTGCTGTTGGACTAAAATGCTGCCTTCTCTTCCCTTCATCCTCCCAAGTCAACAGAGGGAGAAGCTAGAAATAGCAAGGGATTTAGAGTTGTGTTTCTCAAACTGAGACTGGTAATTTTCCATGAGGTTAGTGTTCTTGTAACACCTTAGTTCATATTCCAGAGGTGAGAAGGGTGAAGTTTAATACTTAAAGATGCTGTCCACTTATTCTAATTTAGTTGGACTCTGTAAAGGTTCTCAAGTCATCACATTTGTTTTGCAGTTGGAGCTTCCAGTTTTATGTTTTAACCAAAACCAACAAATACAATAAGAAAACTGTACTTATTCAACCACTGGTTTTAGAACATAAATACCGAAAGATCTCAGCAAATTGAAAGGCTCTTTTAATGAATTTCCAACAGGATTCATATCCTTTTTCACAATGTGTACTGTAATTACATCCTATATAACTTCTTGATTTGCTTCCTGTATTTGATTTCTTGTTTTCAGTAGTGCAGTGGGTGGCTTTTTGAATATGGTTACATAATAAAATGTGGCATTCTACTATGAAAACAGTAAATAAAGTGTGACCTCCTAACATTTTTATGAGTAGCATGACATTCCATGACAAATGACACTAGGCAGTTCATTGTTAGATATTCGTAATATTTTTATAAGGTTATAAGGATCATGAAGTGCAGTTTAATATTAGCCAAAAATTTTAACCCGTTTCCAATAAAAAACACTTTTAAGCTTAACAGTCTCTATATAATGCATTCCCTTGCTAATCTAATATCTGTTTAAATAAACCAATCAAAACTAAATTTTCTAGGACCTTTCAAGAAATGACTTGAGTCATCAGACTATAAAAATGTACAAAAATAGAAATTTGAAAGAATTCATGACCAAGATTTACATAAACCTAGTGCTTTTGGATCCTCAGCCTGAGACTCCTTCAAGGTACTTCACTTTAAAAAACCACTAAATGCATACTGAAAAATTTGATCCCTTCAATGTTTTTTCAGCTGGACAGCCAAAAATGAGAGCACTCAAAATCTCCAGTCATTTTTTACAACCTTCAGCCCTTATTTGCACCTAACCATGTAAAGTCAATAGCCATCCCTGGGAGGAAAGCAGATATATACCATATTTACTTGAATCAAAGATGAGTTTTTCCTCCATTCAACATGAGAGAAAAAATACCTTTGTCTTAGATTAAAGTACTGGCCAAGCAAACAGTTGCTGCATGTCTGGATGGGCCAAGGTGGCTCATGCAGCAGGTAGGGGGTGAGTGGAGCAAGGGTGTATAAGGGAAGGTGGCACAGAGTGCAAGAGTGCAGGGGAAGGGGCCACACAATGGTCGGGGGGACACAGGGAAGGGGGCATGTAGTACAGGGGGAGCAGAGGGAAAGGGTGCATAGTACAAAGGGAGCACAGAGGAAAGGGTACGGGAGTAGTATGGGGGAAGGGACTCGGAGCGGGGAAAGCACAGGCAAAGGGTGTGGGGAAAGGGACATGTGAAGAGTGGGGAAAGGGTATGGGGAAAGGGAAGCATAGGGAAGGGGGTGTGCAGAGGAGGACATATAGTTCGGGAAGGACTGCAGGGGAAAGGGCATGTGGTACTGAGGGGAGATTGGGGGAAGTGGTGTGTGGGGTGAAGGGAGCATGGGGAAAGGACATGGCAAAAGGGGCACATGGTGCAGGGCAAGCACAGGGAAAGGGATGCATGTAACTTAGGGGAGTTCGAGGAAGGGGTGTGTGGAGGAGACTGGGGAGTTGCCGAGGCTCAAGCCCTGACCTATACCAGGTTGGATCCTGGAGCCAGAGCTGTCTGCATTGGCTGGGCAAACCAAGTTCTCCATGCCCCTGGTGGAGACAGAGCCAAAGCAGCTGCAATGGTAAGGGGGGGGACAGGGGAACAGCACAGGGGAACAAATAGCAGGAAGGAGATGGTACTGGGGGGCAGGTGGTGATGGGAGGCAAGTGAACAACAACGGGTGTGAGGAAGGCTGCCTACCCCCCCAGATGCTGCTTTCCTTCTGCCACTACTTTCCCTGTGGCAATGGTTGGGGGTGGGGGGCAATTAACTTAAGACTCTCCATCATTTTCCATGTCTAAAATCTAATTATTGGGGGCCAGGTTAGATTCAGGGTGAACTTGGATTCAGGTAAACATAGTAGTTGTTTATATATCTTAAATGCATGTAACCCTGATAATATTTTACACATTTTACTATTGTTACATTCTATAATAATATTTTTATGTAGTCTTCATTTGCATACCCTCATTATTATGCAAGTTTGAGGGACTACTTATATCTGTTTTCACAGTTTGTGGTCTTAGGGCATTTTTATTAGGGCTGTGTGACATTTCGCCAGGTGTTTCATTTCAAAACTGTTTTGACTTTTTTCAAGCTTGAAACAGTGAAATCAAAATGAAAAAAAGGCTTTGAAACAGCCTCAAAATGAAATGAGGGCAGTCGAAACATTACAAAATTTTCAAAACATTTTATGTTTCAAAGTTGGGCTTGCTTGTGGGGAAACAGAAACTAAAGAGAGGAAGGGGGAAGAGGGGGGAGGGACTGCTCTGACACTGACTGTGTAGCTGGCCAGTGACTGTGATCCTTCCCTGAGGTCCCTTCCAATCCCAGTGCTCTGGGGGAGGGACAGAAAAACAGTTGCGCCTTAACACACACACACAGCCAAATGTTACAAGTTTTGCTTGTCAGCAGCTTGAGGTGCAGTTTTCCAGAAACCCATGCGCCTATCTCCTTCAAGCTTGGCAGGCTTCATGGCTTCAGCAAGGGCTACCATCCCTGCAGTTTTCATCCCACTGTACCTTGACACACACACAAAGTCACACATCATGAGTTCTGCTTGTCAGCAGTTTCAGGTACAGTTTCCCAGAAACCCCTGTACCTATCTCCTTGAAACCTGGCGGGCTTTGTGGCTGCAGTAGGGGCTACCACATGCTGATTTCATCCAAATCTGCCAAGAAATTAAAAAGTTATAGGAAGTTTTGTGCTTCCCCATTATAGCTTATGGGTGAAATGTCGAAACAGAGAAACAGTTTCAATAAAATAAAATGAAACAGTACTTGGAAATGAAATGAAACTTGAAACAAAACACTGTCCCATCGAAAGGTCAAAATGGAAGTCAGAATGAATTGGTGCCATTTCACACAGTCCTAATTTTTACATGCGTATGTGCTGCAGCGCCAGGAGCTTTGAAAAGTTCCCAGCACTGTGACGCTTACAGTTGTTGAGGTGGCAAAATGCGTGTTAGCACCGAGAAAATGGTGGCAGCATGATTTTGAACTAAAACGCCTCAGAGGTGCTCACAGGCAGCGGAAGAGGGAGGCTAACGGGGGTCATCCCCCCTAAATGGAGGGCAGCAGCAGGCATAGACTTAGGGTAGCCTAGCTATGGGCTGTTGCAGCAGGGGGGGAGGGGCAGGCACACTCAGATACCCTGTGCATTTGCAGCCAGCCCAGCCATACACAGGCAGGTAAGTTTCTTTTAATCTTCTTTCTTTATCACCCTAGGCTTGGGAAGTGGGGAGTGAGACCCCCACAGATTGAGGCCCCCAAGTGCAGGAGACAGTAGGGTAGGGGCAGGGCAAATCTTTCACTCTTGCCCCTGCCTCACTACCTGCTGTACTGTGGGGATTGTCCCATGACCTGGCCTGGTCAGGGCCCCATTCACTGTGAATGGAGTCCTGGCCGGGCCGGGTCATAGGACAATTGGAGCCTGGTGGCTTATCCAGGGGTGTGGGTGGGCGGTTCCCACTACTGTGCTTTGGCTGTCCCTAACTCTGACCTTGGACCTCCCCTGAATCTCGGCTCTCTGACCCTTGGTTTCTGAGCTTGGCTCACTTCTTGGATTACACTTCTTGGATTTTATCTCTCAGTTCTCCTGAAACTTGGTCCCTGTTTCCTCAGCCCTTTGACCTAGATTCTGGCCCAACACTTTGGTAATCTGCACTCCTACCTTGCTGACTCCAAAGTTGCTCCTAGGGGCCTACCTGCAGGCCTGGCCACCTATGTCTTAGCTAAACCCTCACAACTGGCTTTTGCTTCTAAAATGTTTGTAGGTCTGTAAATGTTTGATGTTTGTAGGTCTGTAAATGTTAGTAATGCACAGTTATACAAAAGTCGTTGAAAGGTCAGCCCTCACTTTAAGCTGTGAAGAGGTATGCAGTGGGGTGGCCCTTAGTTTTATAGAAAGGAGGTGTGTATGGGAAGAGTAGAGTAATTCCACACAGAAGTCATTCCCTGGATGCTTTTAATCAATTTTATCAAAATAAAAGTGTTTCTCAGCACAGGACTCTATCAGGTGCCTGAAACCCTAAGAATCACTACACTAGAAAGAGATGAAAAAAATCCTTGAACCTGGCAGATGGTGGTAGCTCTCAGGTGGTAGCTTCCCAGGTTGGTTTGCCTGTGACTATGATCTGGTTTAAGCTACATTTAAGAGATAATACTACATTTTTCTTTATGGTGAATACTTGTAATAAATCCTATTTTAGCTTGTGAGTGGGGAAGTTGGTCACATTAGAATACCCAGTACAAATTTATTTTCCCAGGTTTCTGGGTGGAGGCTTGAACTAAATATGAGAAGTGGCATAAAACCTCTAGACTACAGACAATCATTACATATAAACTGGTTTCAGTGATCAGAAATTGGTTTAAATCTGTAACAGAACAGATGTTCAGTGTACATAAACCAGTTTGCAAATGGTTGAAACCAGTGTGAGATAAACCTGATTGAATGTAGTATCAGACTTAACTGATTTGGCTCAAACCGGTTTATGCAATGTCTGTCCCAGATCCCTTGCTGGTTAAACCAGACACCCCCAGCATCTCAGCATGCTCTCTGGGCTGGGCTGGCCCCTCCCCTCTACTCCCTGGCTGGAGCTCAGCACAGATTTGCTGGCTAAGGTCTGTGCTGTGGGAGAGGATAGAGGCAGACAGGCTTTTTGGAGCTAATCAACGGGTAGCTTAATGTCCTTTCTTGGAAGAGCTGTTTAAGAAGAGCTCCATTAATTAATGGAGAGAGGTACTGTTTTCTTAATGAGTTGATAAACACTGAATTAAGGGTGATAAACATTCCCTGCTGGGCAGCTCAGGATGGGGGGGTTGGGGGGGTGGAGGGGGGAATAATCAGAGTGTCCTGCCAGGGCCTGGCCATGCCTCCCTCAGCTCTACCCTGTGGAAGCAAAAGGAGGGCTGTTCTAGTGCCCCTGGCTTCTAGCCTGAGCCACTGCAGGCATGTGCCTGCATTTCTGGGACGTCTGTCTGGATTACAAACTGATTTAGCCTAGCCAGGTTAGACTAACCACAAAGATTGAATCAATTCTTGTTTGGGCTTTTTGAATGTCTGTCCCTAGCCCTAAAGTTCAACCCAGCCCTTGTTACTGTCATCGAGTGCTTGGCAGAAAGTTTACATGAATATCAAGCAAAGGCTGGAAAATAAATTGTGAAGGTGTGTAAACTTTGTACTATGTTGTGAAGTCTCAAGTAAATTACCTTCCATTTTGAAATGTCACCAGGTACATGCTGTAGCAATATTTACTATGGATATAGTGAAACTGATCCTATGAAGCAACAATAGTTGCCCAGAGCTATATACTACTGAAGCCTTGTTTTGGACTGTGATTTAAGTGGTCCAATACATTCAGGTCATTTGGTCAGGGATGAATTTCATTCATAGTGTCTAAAGCAAACACCTAAACAAACATTCATATTGTCATAATTCCCATGGATGTCTCCTCTGACAATCAGGATGCCTTGATTTAGTGGCCAAAATCTATGTTTATGAAAGTAATACTTGAAAATTATGACTCTTGTATTTCAAGCTCGTAAGCTGAATGTGAGCCCATGAGTTCTTGTGCAAAAAAAAGCTAACAGCATCCTGGGTTGTATTAACAGGAGTGTTGCTTGCAAATCAAGGGAAAGTGACTCTATTTTGTTTGGCATTGGTGAGGCCCCATCTGGAGTATGATGCCCAGTTTTGGGTCCTACACTTCAACAAAGATGTGGACAGTTTGGACTCAGTCCAGCACAGGTCAACAAAAATGATTAAGAGCCTGGGAGGAAAGACTTTATGAGGAAAGGCCAATTATTTAGCCTGAAAAAAGAGAAGACTGAGGGACAAGTTGATAACAGTTTTCAACTACCTGAAGGGTCATGATAAAGAGGATGGAGGTGGGGGGTGGTTTCTGTGGATGTAGGGGACAGAACTAAGAGCAATGGCCTCAAGCTGCAGCAGGGAAAATTTAGGTTGGAGATTAGAAGCAACTTCCTAACTATGAGGGTAGTCAGGCATTGGAACAGGCTACCTAGAGAAGTTGTGGAATCTCCATCCTTGGAAACTTTTAAAAGCAGGTTAGACAGACACTTGACTGGGCTTGTTTGGTCAGGGATGATCCTGTTTTGAGCATGGGGCTGGACTAACTGATCTTATGAGGTCCCTTCCAACTTGATTTTTCTACGATCCTAAGCCATGGCATACATTATGATCACATGTACATTCTGCTCCATGAATACACCTATATCTTTACCCATTATTCCTCTTGCTACATACTTTTTAGAATTCCCTAAATTATGAGTGTCGACATTGCACAACATCTGCTGATTCATATGTTCTTAAGAACCAGAACAAGAGGTGTCACCACCTTTCTCCAGGTTTTTGAAACACTCTTTTCAAGCTATTCAGATAACATCTTAAAAAATATTATCTCTTTACTACATAAATCACATGCTCTTTTCAATTTAGTAAGCAATAAGAACCTTAAAATTAAATCATAGCCAATCCCAAACCAAAATGTTGCACTGATCTGTCACTAAAATATGCGAGTAGAATAATAAATGGAAATAGACTTCATAGACATTCGGGCTGGAAGGGACCTCGGAAGATCATCAAGTCCAGCCCCCAGCCCAAAGGGCAGGAAGTCAGCTGGGGTCATAGGATCCCAGCAAGATAAGCATCCAATTTGCATTGGATGAATGAAATGCATTCTTATAACAGTCCACCCTGGACCTGCAAGGTTTCAACACAAGTGTTATGCAAATATCATTCAGAAAAACAGACAGCACCTGACAGCAAAGTGAGTAAAAAGTTTTAAGAGTGATCAGGAACCTATTGCATTAAAAACCCTAATGAGACTTAAATGAATTCAAAATTATTTCAAGCAGATCTGTGGACTTTGGGTCTGAAATGCAGAGAATTTATGTACAGAGTGGAACAGTATATTCCTTTTTTATGCAGATGAAAAGTGTTCTTTAATCAAATAATTCAAACTAACATCCTTGCCTAGAAAAGAGTTTTCTGTCTATGTAAAAACCTGGCCCTTCACTTATAATATTTGAGCAAATCAGCAAAATTAATTAATGTATCCTCATCATACTATTTGTGTGGCTCAATTGTTTATATCAGATCAACCTTACGTACAAATGCAAACATTTTTGTTCAGCATTAAAGCAGTTTATCTATTTTTTACTTTAAGGATAAGGTTTCTAAAGCCACCTTATATAAATTTCCAGTTAACACTAATCTCCAGTGTAATATTTCATTTTAACAAAACATTTAAATATAACAATATTTGGATTCTCTCTGGCACGTAGGAAACTGGTGCTGTTTTCCTGAGTCAGGATACCTGATAAGATAGTAAATATAATAATATAGAAGTCTATTGAATGTACTGACTCTTGAAACAAAGAGATTAAATTTTGGACAATTTTGAATTGGTTGGAAACTGCAGTTTTCTGTAAGAGCAGAAATAGCATGATGGTAACCATTTGCTACCCACCATTTGTCTGATACTGGAATGGCTCCAAGGACAACATGCTATTATCATATTGATGAAGTGTAGATGGTTTCCACGTGTTTTAGATGGTACACGGTGGCACACAGTGGACTCTCCACTAATAAAATTGCTCTGAGGTTCTGAAAGAGAAAATATCCCTTGATTCCTATATATCAACTGGAAGAACAGACAATTTAAAAGAGAAACCAGTTGTTTATACAGCAAAGAGTCAGCTTTTCTCCGTGTAACTGAACGCTATTTTTCTTCACCTGAAATATAATTTTGTATGCTATCGTCAGTTACTATGGCTGTAATTTCTTGCATTTTGCTGTACAGACTTCAGTAGTCTGGTTTATCAATCTTTACAATAAGGGGCTAGAAAAAAATCAGTTGATTTGTGAAATATTAGCTCCGATTCTTCTTTGATTTCATTTGGGAAAGCTTTTCAAAGAAAGAGAGGGATAATCTTTCCCAGAAAAGCCAACAGCATGGCAGCTAGGGTATTTATCTTGGCTGTGGGACACCAAGATGTGAATCCCAATTTTACTTGAATGAGGATTTCAAATCCAGTTTCCTGGGTACCAATGAAAAGTTCATTATGTATACGAAGTAGAGCATTCTAACAGTAAGGTCTGAGAAAGGATCATCCTAGAATAACCAGTAACCTGGGGTCAGGGTATTCACCTGGGCTGGGGGTGATATGGATTAAAGTCCCTAGGGCATGAATTAGGCAAAACAGAGATTTGAACCAGGCTAATTTTAGATTCAAGGTAAGTGCCTTCATTGTCACAATATTTGTTTTTAGGGATTAGAGGCTCTCTCTCTCTCTTTCATCTTTTAATGGAGTGAGAAGTTCTTTGAAATCTCAAAAAGCTTTGAGCAATGCAACCATCATTTAATAAACAGCTCTACCACAATGCTCATGCATGACTGAACCTAGGTTTGAAGGTTTAAATCAGGCCTTGAGCTACACACAGGTAAATTTCACTTATATAGCCTCATGTAAACATTGAATGAACAGCACCATTCACATAGTTGTAATTGGTACCATTAAAAATTTCCCAAAACGTTGATAAAAAGCATGTTAGAATACTATTTATAGGAAATTTCTTAGCAACACAGGCGGGTTAGGGTTTGATTCTACAAACACTTACCAGCTCAAGAACAGATGCTTAATCCTCAGAGTAAAAATTTTAGCAGTACGTCTTCCCAAGTAAGGTAGAGTCATCAAAGAATCCCTAACTTGTCATGTTTCTTGACAATGAGTACCACTGGAGTTCCTTGATCAGTTTGCCTTGAGGAAACTGAGATAAATGACATTGAAACATTGAATTAATTGCTTTTCAGTCAACAGCCCCTCTGCAAGGCATATTGTACTGATCATTAACTGACCATAATTTCTGTGAGACTTTACTTTCTAAATTACATTGAATTAATTGCAATTATCCTTAATTTGGATCTAAGCCCCCTCCCCATGTAGACATTATTCACTAACTGAAAAGCACATTTGTCATTAATCTCTTCTTCTAGCATTTCTTATTATGTGAAGGAGGCCTGAATATTACAAGTGAGGAAAGTGGCAATGGCTAATCACACACATATGCACATGTGCGCACATGCGCCGCACACACACTTATTTAAAATGAACAGGCAAGATTAGTATGATCTCTCTCTCTGCAACCAAACACCCCCCCCAACACACACCAAAATTTACAGGTGACCTACAGGGTAGATGAAGTGCCAACTCTTTTGAAAAAAAAGAGTTTAAATACCATTCAAATATTTGACACAAGTAATATAGTTTTTACATCTTCAGGAGATCATTAAAAACAGAATTAGCTGCTGAGTGATGGCACAAATGTGACAATTTAAGGGACTTTATATTTGGGGAGCTTATCTCACGCTCTGTTGAAACTCTTTAATGTATCTATACTAAAAAACCATGACTCTACAGAACCTAAAATTAAGTTTTTGCCTGCATATTTACATGCAGATATTAGAAAGAAAGAATTAAAATTACCAGTTGTCCTAAGAAATCTAATTTTGCTGCTTGTTCCTTTACAACATAAGTAACTAAATTGGTGTTATATTCTTATATACAAAAGCAGGCATCTTTGTGTCATTAACTGGTTGGCAAATTCAGATGCTATGTGGTAAGATAATATCAATATAATCAATATAAAAATTAAGGGCCAGACCCAATTAAGGACTTGCATACCACCTATAAGTTAAGCATTGCAACATCTGACTTTTAGATGCCTGGCTTGCAGGATGAAACCACAAGCTGTGTTGCAGAAACGACACCTGTGTTCCATAGACAAGTCATAGGAGAGGGTTAGGTGCCTGAAAATTGGATCCAGAGCAGCCAGAGCAGGGAGTCACTGAGGTTACTGTGCTGCTCCTAGAGCCCATAGGGAAATACTGAGTTTTCAGTCTCACCTCCCAGCTGCCTCATTCTGGTCTAGAACCAAAGCTTAGAAGCCTCTCCTGAAGGACCACTCCCTACTTTTCTTTCAAAGACATGAGCTTGGCTCACCCTTCTCTTTTAAAACACAGGAGGAGGACAAGGAAGCAAAATGGCTGTGGCTGTGTATTTTATTCAATGGTTTCTTAATGTAAAATACATAACCAGTCTTTGGACTAGAGACCAGAATGCAAGACTCCTTCTGCAGGTTATTTTCCTGACCATGAGTCCACAGACTCATTCCTTCTCTCCTCTCCAGCCCTGTGAATCTTGCATTCTTTGCTGCACAGTGGTGCAGCTTGAACAGTAATGCATGGAATAGAGGTGGCCAGCCTGCAGCATGTGTGCCACAAGTGGCATGGGCAGCCTCAATGTGTGGCACGTGGCAAATCAGGGAGGGAGCTGGAAACACAGCAAAAGAAAGGCAGGAAGCAAGCAACAGAGCAGAACATGTAGGGGAAGCAGACTGGAGTTGTACTTAGGGAGAAGGAGGGGCTTACTTTGTGGCATGCCTGCCAAGAATGTTGGCCCCCATGACACAGAAGCTACCAAACTAAAATTGGTTCCTTGCTGTCCCAGGAGTTGCAAATGCAGATAGTAAGACAGAGTGTCTACCCCATAGAGTACAATTCAAGACAAGTGAAAGGGAACAGAAAAGGGCAATTAGTGTCTCTCTTTTTCAAATGGGGACCTGAGGCCTGGAAAGATGGATGAAGGCACTTAAGGTCACACAGGAGGTATGTGGCAGAACCAAGAATCCAGATCTTGAGCTCCCATCTAGTGCCTTAATCACAAGGTCATCTTTTCTGAAATGTGTTGATGACCTCTCCCTCTGTTAGCTCAGCTGTACTGTCTCTAGTGCACTGATGGGAAGCGTTGTCAAAGACCTACATACATTCCACTCCCACGCAGAAGGCAAAGTAGAGGGTCTAATGAGACTGCTTTCCCCATGCACTGGAGTTACTATGGGATAAAGGAAAATGTTTCCCTCATCCTCCTGCTTCAGTGATTCCATCTGTTAAGAAAAGCAGCAGTTATTCCCCTATGCAGAGCACTTGGCTATCCTGAGAAGGAAAAATGATAGATATATACATTTCTTATATGTATATATGCATGCCTACATTCTTACATATTTGCTCTAGCTTATGTTGCTTAATTGGGCTCAATATTATGTTATAAATATTTCTAAATTGAAGTATTCCATAATATTTTTTGTCTATGACCTTTCAATGTTGCCTTAATTGAAATATCAGTCTATTTGTCCATCCCTACTGCAGAACCAGCCAGCCAGCAAATAGAGCACATATTAATAAGCTGTATCCACCAGAACTGTGCTTACGCCCCAGAACTGTGACACATTATTAAAAAAACCCAGGAATGGAATAAGACTTACCTATGTTGACCTCTTCATGAGAAAACGGTTGATAAATTGTTTGTCTAATGAGAAAGCATGAGAATGGTAGGGAATGAAATAGACTAGTGACTAACAGTAAATCACAAAACAATAGAGAGTAAAATATAAAAATGAGCCCCTGACACTATTCCTTTAAGTGTGACAGTTTTGCACCATATTAAAAAAATCCACAGGTAGCCTTTATCAGTGCAGAATTGGAATGCTGCATAATGAAACTGTGTGCATTTTCACTGAGGGGAAGAAAGCATTTTACAACATAAAAGAAATTGCTGTAGTGACCCAGGGGAGCTGCCAATGTTTCCTGGATGAGGACAATTAACCAAAACAATATTGTTAATTTTGCTACAGGTTTTTAATGATCTAGAAAGCAGAATACAAACTTTGGCTTAATAGAAATGGCTAAGAGTCTGCAACAGAAGGGAATTTCAGGAAGATTTTGCAGCAGCCAGGGTCATGAATGAGAAACCTACAATGCTTGCAAGAGTAAATGTGTATGAATTTTAATAACCCGATTGAACTCCTATGGTTTGGGTCACAGAGGAAGAGCATAAAGCAACTTTGCAATAAACTTGGGGTGGCAGTTGTGTCATAGCTGAAACTACAAAGTGCCCATATTATTAATAATCACTTCTGCATATGGCAGCTGTTCTTCATTCACTGATTTCATGGTATCAATTCTCCGTCACAACAGGCACGGCTACAAGGCAAGTGCCATCCCTCTTTGGGATCTTCAGGCACAGGATGTTTATAAAATGTCCTGGCCCTCTCACAGAAAGCACTCGACAAAACTGACAGTCAAAAAAAAATTCATGGGCCCAGACTCCTCATCCACTATTTTTACAAATACTCCAGAAGCAAAAAGTTTGAACCTCACAAGTATTTAAGTCTCAGAGAGCCAGGAAAGAGTTGGAAAGCATTAATCTAAAAGGAAAAACACCATAACAAAACTATAGCACACAACACCCTTGAGCTAAGGGAGAATCATCTTTAACAGTATGCTGTAAAGGTCCTATAATATTCAGTTTGGCAGTACTATTTCCATGTAGTAAAGGGCACTGGTACCCACATGCACCAGTTTGCTACAATTACAGGAACCCAACTATTGTTCCCTACTGTGATCCCCTGCCAACCAGGACATACTATCTAGATGTCTGAAAAGACTCTAAACAATACTTCGAAGTACAACAGCAACAAACAGCACTTTTAAGAGTCTTATTTTTTTGTCAGGAACAGTTCTTCTTTTTTCCTTTTTAACTAGATGACAGGGACCAATTAAAGTAATGAGCCTCGCAAAGTATTTCCCTTGGCTAATGGCAGCCTGTATTAACGTTTGCAGTAGTGCAGCATTTGAGCCTTAAGCTTGTTGAATGTTAGCACTTTGGAAGACACCTCCACATCCTGTTAATTTCTCCATCTATCACAACAGCTCCTTTGACTGAGGTTATATCAGCCTTCCTGTTTACTCTGCTGGCTATGCACCAATATTCTCATAGACATAACTTCTATTGACTAAGGCAATAATTCTGTAATAAGAACCAAGCAGGTTCATATTTTTAGCTATGTGGTACCATTTTCTGGATCAGAGCCTTTTTTTCTTAACACTTCAACTTTTTTGTTGCTACTTGTATGCCATACATATGGGGAACGCATTTTGGAGGAGGGCAAAATGAAAACATACATTTGCTCCATGTGTGATAGCCCTCATCTTGCCAAAACAATTTTGGAAAGCAAGCCGTAAGTTTAATTTTTCTAGATCGTTTGTTTTTATAATTGCGGTAATAAATAACGATGAAGAAAAAATCCCTGCTGAACTTGACAAGCTTCTGTTAAAAAAAAAAAAAGTAACTATTGACTTTGGCTTGGATGCTTCCAGCGTGTTCTAATTACAACCCTTATTATATTCTTGTAAAATGCCAAAATTTCAAATGTGTTGTAAATTCAAACACTAAAAAGAGATTAAATGTGGAGATGGTGCCAAAAAACTAAGAGGTTTTATTAACTTCTTCAGTTCCTGTTTCAGGCAGATATAATTTGTGAATGGGCCTGTGCCCCAAATTCCTGATCTAAATCCAAATATGAATGGGCCCCAAATTCAGAGATGTTTCAACCTTTGCTACTCATTCAGGTCCTTCTCTAATGAAATCAAAATCAAAGTCACTGCTTCGTATCCTGTCCTGGACCTACATAAATTCTGGCCTAGTTTTTCAATCGTGTGTGTGATACATCTACCTCACTGAGGTCAATGGCAGTGTGACAGTGGAATAGGTCAAACTGTGGAATAGGTCAAACCATTTCACATTATTTTGCATTATTTGTTTTGGATTGGGACCTGTATTTCACATTAAATACTGAATTCATGTCTAATTTGGCACAAGACAACAGTGTATTCTGGTCAGTACCTAGCCAGGGAAAGCTACTTGATAACTACTGGAAGGACGATGTCTGAGAAGTCATCAAGACAACAATCTGGACTCATTTAGTGCTTTGTCTCTTGGTTCCAAGCCCATAGAGCAATGGTTTGTTCACACAGGAGCCTGGAAAGATGAAGGAATATGCAGGCTAGTAAAGCTCTTATATGAAGGATGATGTTTCTCCAAGCACAGGGCACCATCCATTGACCTATGTAAGAAGACTGAGCTGAAACAGAAGGTGGGAAAAGGAGGTCTCATTTGCATAAAAGGAGGAAATCAAATAGGGCTGTGCAAAGCTCTGGTTGCTGATTTGATTCAGAGAAGATTTGGCCCAATTCAGCGGCTGAATCTCTGAAACCAAATCGAATTGGGAGACACATTAAAAGGTCTGAACTGAATCTGAAGCCTCTCAAACGATTTGGAAAAGATTCAGAGAGATTTGTAGATTCAGATTGGCCAGGGAGAGGCAGGCACAGCCGGGCAGCTGCAGGTTCTCCCACAGCTCCTCTGGCCATGCCTGCCTCTGCCCAGGTGATGAGAACTGGGGGAGAAGCCCCCATGGCTGCCCCGCCAGGCCCCATCCCCTGCCCTCCTGGCAGAGCCCCTACCATGCAGCCCCCACTCCCTGATCGCCCTCCCTGCCCGGCCCCAGCATCCTGGCAATTAAAAAGGAAAAAAAAGCCTCATACTCACTGGCAGTAGCAGTGGCTGTGGGGGCTCTGTGGCCATGTGGCAGAGCCCCTCTATGCTGCACAGCTCCCTCTCCCCCGCCCTGCCCAGCCCCTGATGGCCCCCCCACCTGGAGCCAGCATCCAGGAAATTAAAAAAAAAAAAAAAAAAGCATTGCACTCTCTGGCTGCAGCAACAGGGATTGGGACTTCTGAGGAGTCGTGACAGAGGCCCCCTGCACAGTGCATGTGTCAGCTGGAGCTCTGCACTGCTCAGCCCCAACAGCCCCAGCTCCCAGACAGCGTGCAGTGCCCTGATGAGCTGCACTGCATCCACACCATGGAGCAGCTGCCACACAGGTGTCAGGAGCAGGGTCAATCCCCACTGCCTCATGCTGTGTGGGGGGGCTCTGTCATGAACCCTCAGAGGCCTTGATCCCCACTGCTGCATCCAGTGAGTGCAGGGCTTTTTTTTGTTTTTAAATTGCCAGAATGCTGGCACTGGGTGGGGCAGCCATTGGGGGCAGGGCTGGGTGGGGGGGAAGATTGGGGAATGGGGCTGTTGGTGGGGGGCTCTTCCAGGAGGCCCCACAGACCCTACAGCCCTTGCTACAGCCGGTGAGTGTGGGGCAATTTTTTTTTTTTTTTTTTTAAGTGCTGGGACTAGGCTGGGGCCAGGCAGAGGATCCGGCAGGCAGGGCAGCCATAGGGGTTTCTCTCCTGGCTCCCCCCACCCAGGGAGAGGCAGGCACAGCTGAAGGAGCCACAGGAGAACCTGCAGCTGCCTGGCTGTGCCTGCCTCTCCCTGGTGGATCCTAATCTCCGAATCAGCACCAAATCTCTGATTCTGATTCGGCTGAATCGAATGGGAACAGTGATTAAATCACCAAATCATATCACTGTCCTCTGAATTGGCCGAAAGAATCCAAATTGAATACTTCCTTATTCACACAGGCTTAAAATCAAATTAGAAGTGCTATGCCTCTCAACCTCTGTAAATATTTGTAACTGTAGTATTTTTTAAGGGTAAAGCATCTGTGGTCATGAAGTACTTTTCCTATGCTTGTACTGTCCATCTCCCAGTCTCCAAAAGGATTAAACTATACGTTGGACTGCCCATGGCTAGGTGGAACTTGGTAGGAGACTATGTTAAAAATATTAGGGGATTCATGAGATCTGAAACTTCAGTTCCAGGATCTGGGGCAGCTGGCTGCCATGTCCTATATCTCTAAAAAGGGTCTGAGCTTGGAAGAATACCATGGAGAACCAGAGCTGTGAACAAGGACTCAACTCTGATCTATCATAGAAGTATGTGAATACAAATGCTGAATGTCATGAGCAACAGACTAGAAATGAGCCAGGTTACAACAAGGAGCTTCCCCGCCAAATCAAATAGAGCCAAGATTTCAATGGGGCCTGAATTTAGGGTAAGTGGCCTTCCTTTTAGGTATTCTGAACACCACTTTCTGGTGGCTTCTGTATACTTAAGTAGTCCCCTGCTTGTCTCTTTTCAGAAGTCCTCATGCTCTTGTGTATCAAGCATTTCAAATTTCAGTTTTATCCAACCTGTCTCATCTGAACAGCTACCTTACAATACAAGAAAGACTTGGACAGGGGAGCTGCTATTTATTCATTATAATCACAAAAGCATCCCCTCCTTGGAACTATAAGTTCAACTACTGAACACAAACCTCTCTTTGCAACATGAAATGTATACCTTAGTCTATTATCTCTTATTTTACAGATGAAGATAGCGGTACAGAGACTAAGGGGATATGGAGCACTCTCCCACATTCTCTCCTGAAAGTGAAAGTTATTCATGATTTAGGTGGAGAATAACCTAATAGTTTTGCTTTGGGCTACAAACAGAATCAATGGCAGGGCCATTAATTTATACTTCAAGTTGTGAGAGTATCTCTATTTATGGAAGTAAAAAGAGACTCAGTTGGGCCACTGCATGACCAGGTTGTAAAAGAAATGATTAAGCAGGACAAGGCCATTATGGAGAAACTAAATGAGTATTTTGCAGCAGTCTTACTGTGAAAGACTTGTGTCAGGGCGGGGGTGAGAGAAGAAGTAGGATTTGCTCACCAGAACCATTCCTCCTAGAGGACCAAGTCAGTATAACAGCCCCAACTGATGTATTTGTAGGTAAGATTTTAGACTGAAAAACTAAACAGTTAAAAAAACGCCAGAACCTCTAGGGCAGGGGTAGGCAATTATTTCGGGCAGAGGGCCACTTACCAAGTTTTGGCAAGCTGTCAAGGGTCACATGGGCAGCTCTACCCCTTGACAGGTGCCCTGCACTCTGGTCACCATCTTGCGACTGGAAGTCCTGCCCCCTAACCCCTGACCTTTTCCACCAAAAGTTCCTCCACTTGCCCTCAGAAGTACTCCTTTCAGCAAGGGGTTTTGCCATCTGGAACCAGAAAAATGCCAAATTATATTTTGAAAAGTGAACATCTAAAACATTCCTTAATTTGATTTCAAAGATATTTTTGTTTTGATTTACATGTGTTTGTGTAATGTACACAGAAGTGATTGTATATTATAGATTAAAATGAAGTCTTACTCTTGTATATTGTGGGGGTTATAAGTTTGTGGGGCACTATGAGTGTGTGGATATGTGGGATGTGGGGGAGGGTGTGGATCTGTTTGTGGGGGGTGAATAGGTGTGGGGGGTGTGGGTTTGGGATGACAGAGCATGTAGGTGTGTGTGTGGATATGTGGTGTGTTGGTGGGTATGGGGTTTGTGGGAGGCTGTGTATGGGGGGGAGGGTGGCTCCCTCCCTACACACACAGTCTCTCCCTATACCCCCTACCCCACCCCAGGGTACTGGCATGGGCCCTGTACTTCCTGGTCTGGCAATGCAGCCGGGAGCCATACAGTGCTGGAGCACTGCAGACAGGCAGGGAAATGGCTGGGGGTGGGACAGGTTGGGACAGGGCTGCTGAGACTCCCCCTGGGTCCTACTGCCTCTATATCCTGTCATCTTTGACAGGCAGCCAGGAGGAGATAAATATTTTCTAATTTTTTCAGGGGCCCCGTGGGCCAGATTGAATGGCTTGGCAGGCCAAATCCAGCCTGTAAGCCATATTTTGCCCACCCCTGCTCTAGGGCATTCATCCTAGAGTCCTGAAAGAGCTCAAACCTGAAATTATGGAACTACTTACTGTAGTATATAACCTATAACTAAAAATATTACTAAAAACATCCTTGGTTCCAGAGGACTAGAGGATAATATAACTCCAATCTTTAAAAAGGGCTCCGGAGGAAGCCAGGGAACTACAGGCCAGTGAGGTTTCCTGTTCCTGGCAAATTAATAGAAGCAATAATAATAATAAAAAAAATTGTTTAGCACATGGGTGAACAGGAGAGTTAATGCCTCACCAATTAGAGTTCTTTGAAGGCATAGGCAACAAGTTGGATTGGGGGATCCACTTGATATACTACCATATTTACTTGAATATAAGACAAGGTAACCTTCCCCCCCATCAACATGGGGGGAAAAGCACCTCATCTTATTTTTGGATCTAAAGCAGAGTGGGGAGCAGGTGGCTACTGCAGCTCTGGCTCTGACTCAGAGCCCAGGTCTGGGCCAGAGTCAGACCCACAGCAGCCTCTCACCCCCCACTCCAGGCAAGGACTGAGCTTCCATGTGCTATGCTCTGGGAGACAGTAGCCCACATAGTATCTGACAGTAAGGGGAGGCGGGAGGGGAAGAAGCAGAAACTGGGAGCAAGGGAGGAAAGGGGCAAAGACTGGGGAGAGTGGGGGGAAAGAGGCAGAGACTGGGGGAGTGGGGGAGGGGCAGAGCCTGTGGGGAGGGAAGATGACAGGAAGGTTTTAGGGGGGAAAAGTGGGCAGAGTAGAGGGCAAAGGGGCTGTCTGCCACCTCCCCTCACCCCCGCCAGCCACTGCTTTTCTTGCTGTAGTAGAGGGAAAGGATGCAAGACAACCCTCCAGTACTTATATTTTATACGTGGAAAATTATAACAAATTTATAAACAAAGATAAGGGCAAATTGATGCACAGGGGGGAAAATATCTCCCAAAACACATACATACTGTATTTACCTGAATCCAAGACTACTTTGATTTTAAGGCAACAACCCAATAATTAGATACTATACATAGAAAATCTATAAATGTGTTATAATTTATAGAATCCAATTATTGGAGAGTCATCTTATATTTGTTCCCCATATTGCTGCAGTGGGCAAAGCTGCAGTAGGGGGGCAGGTGGTGGGAGGAGTGAAGTGTGTATAAGAATAAGACTGAGGCATTGACACAGAAAGATAAGGTTGGGTAGTGATGGCATAGGCGGCAGAACACAAGGAGGTGCTACGGAAATTAGAAGTAGCGAGGGGCTGGATAGCAGTACTCCAGAAAGAAGTCTGGAGTCAGGAGGACCAAACAGGGGAGTTACAGGAGGAGCTGGAGAGCTGGCAACAGAGGGGCATATGTGCAGAAGACCTGGTGCAAGAAATAAAAGATAAGATGTGGGAGAGCCATATGCAGGCAGTAGAGTCCGATAATAGGTTCTGGCAGGAGTTGGAAAAGATGACTGTTTACATGGCAGATTATAAGCTGTTGGGTGAGCAAAGGCTATCCCTGGAAGAGGATCTAAGAGCCAGAGAGAGAGAGAGAACAATGAATTATGCAACCAGCTACAGAGGGTAGAGGGAGAAAAAGAACAGCTGGTGGGATAAGTCCAGTCCCTTAAAACCTTCTGGGAAGACAGCCTAGCTAAAGAAATAGCGATAAGAGCAGAGAAAGAGCAGCTAGAGTGAGAAATACTAACTATGAGTCAAGAAATTCAGGCGTTAAAGCAGGAAAATGAAAGGCTGTGGGCAGTGAGCGATCTGGGGGCCATGAAAACCCAAGACCCAGGAGGGGTAGAGGTATCAGAGGAAGATGGTATAACCACCCTGGTAGAAGCCGACCCAAAACCGCAAACCTTGGGGACCTCGGACACGGTGCAGGAACAGTTGGAAGCACTGGGAGTTCAATTAGCTGAGTACTTGGTAGCTGCTAAGTCTGAATACCAAGAGAGGGAAGAACTTAAGGAGTCTTTGAAGCAGGCAGAGGCACAACTAGAGGACACCTGGTCTAGGATTATGAAATGCCTAGAGCCAGAGGACTTTCCCAGTGTCAGGAGTCCAGAGGGTCCTAAAGAGGAAGCTAGGCCAGGGCAGCTGGGGAGAAGTATCAGGGAGGAGAGTCCTATAGAGCAGTGGTCTCCAAACTTTTTTGATCATGCACCCCTATCAGTAAAAAAATTTTGAGCACGCACCCCCAATATATGTATATTTATATAAATAGAAATAGAAATAGAAGTTCTAATATTTTCTTCCCACACCCCAATGGATCGTCTTGCACACCCCCTGGCATGCGTGCACCCCACTTTGGAGACCACTGCTATAGAGGAGAAACTGGGGGACTTACAAAAGGAGGCTCTGCCAGCTCTCCTAGAATACTGGGACCAGAGATGGAACCAGTGGCAGAGTCATCACATGAACGAGATGAGCCAGCTAAGGCAACAACTGAGGGAATTATCCCTACTGCAGGTTAAGGGAGGAAGTACAGGGCCCAGTCAGGGGCAACTAAAGTGGGTAGACTTGGGAGATGTAGGGGTGACAGGGAAGGAGGAACAGGTTTCCCCAAAAAGCAAGACCTACCGCTCAATTAGCCAGGATGAGGCACAAACAGTCTGATGCCTAGGGCAACCAGAACCCAAGGTAGGTCTGGCAAAAAGGGAATCAGCTGAGCTCAGCAAAGTAAATTGTGCCCAGGAGCATGAGATAAGGAGGAGGGAACAACCAGCCAAAAGGGGATCCATGCCTGAGAAAAGACCTCAAGTCTACGTAAATAACATCCCTAGGCAGGTCACATGGTGGAGGCTGAGAAACATTGAGGAGAAAGTTGGAGAAGTAGCACATGTTAAGATCTATAAGGGATCAGTAGGAAGACACACAGTCCAGGGGAAGGTTGAGTTTTGGAAAGAGGAATGTGCCCAGAAGGCATTGAGGAGGCAGTGGGAAGTAGACCACCTATGATTTGCCCAGAGAAAGAGACCTAGGTGTGTACAAAGGGAAGGTGGATGGGCCAGAGAAGAGAGGAAGGAGAGACCCCAAGAAATAGGCAGGAGCTTGACCGGTGAAGGGTGCAACTTACCAATGTTGGCTAATGTGGGGGGACTACCTGTGGTGGGTAACTCCCAATAAATCCCACATGGTGTGCCTTGGGGAAAAGGTGGGTAGGAGGCACCTTAAAACCTCAGCCTCTGTGCATCCGAATGGACAAAGATCAAGAGCCAGAACCAGAGGGAACAGAGATAAGAGATGAAAATCAAGACCAGGCCGGGTAAGTTGAATCTTGAGGGCGGAGGTGTGTAGCAGGGCACTGAGGTGCCTGCTACTGGTGAATCAATAA